CTCCTGTAATTGCGCAACTGTTCCTGACACCTATTAGCTCTTCGGTGCCGGGCATCCAGGAACAACTCACTGCTGATGTCCGGATCACACTCCCTTGTCTCCTCCCCATTAGGCCAAGGCTCAGGCACCTCCTGGGGGCCAACCAGTCTCTCTGCGCCCTGCTCGGAGTCGGAACCCTGCCCAGGGTCCTCCAGAGCCGACTCATAGGGCCCCTCGCTGTCGGAGTCTGGTGGCAGCTCCAACGGCTTCTGCTGAGCCACAACAGGAAGGTAACACAATTTATATTTTAGCATATAGCCATGCTGGCCACATGACCATGGAAAATGTCTTTGGTCAATGCTGGCTCCCTTGGCCAAGAAACAGAGATGAACACTGTGTCCTAGAGTCAGACATGACAGGAGAAGGAAATCATTAATTTTACCTAATCATTTAAAGTCAGTTATTTAACATTTATTCGTATAAATTAACTCATCAGAAGGTAATTTTTTCAGTGATTTAACACAAATTCATGGGTAATTTCTTTAATGATTTTTAACCATTCCTCAAGTCTTGTAAGTTTATGTCTTGCAAATATTTCTGGAAGTTTTTGGAAATGGTAATTATTTATTAATTAAACTTATATGCTGCCCACCTCACTATCAAATGGCTCTGGGTGGCTTGTATGGTATTGTATTGATAAAAGAAATATTTAGGTTATTTTGAATGATTGCATTGAGTATGTAAATATCTTTAAAATATGTAGGGGCCAAGTGCTATGGTGTGTTCTTCATGTTTTACTGAATGATCATCTAAAATCTTTCTGTATTTAATTTATTATTGTTGTTGTTATTTTTTACTTAGTTCCTCCAAAGATACAACCTGGGCCTCGAGTGATTAAAGCAAAGGTTGGTAATAGAATTGATATACATTGCAGTGCTCAAGGAATCCCATCTCCAAGAATTACTTGGCTTAAAGATCAACAACCCCTTTTGATAGACAACAAACAATATGCTTCTTCTCTGGATGGAACACTGAGTATCATCAAAGTTGTGCTTTCAGATGCTGGAATCTATAAATGTGTGGCAAGTAATATTGCTGGTCATGATGAAGCTGAGATAATGATCCAAGTTCAAGGTAATATTAACATTATAGTGAAAAGTGCATAAGAAGAATTATCATTTTTTAAAAGAGGTTATGTTTATACTTACAGCAAATGATTGGATAAGATTTTTTTTTTTGCTTTTACTAAGAGTATTAAAACACATACGTATAACATTAAGGGAGAATATACTNACCCACCTTCCCTTACCTCTTTCTTCTTCCCTTACCTCTCCACCACATTTCTTTTCCTACTTCTATGACTCCCTTTGAAAATACTTTTTTTTCTGGTAAAGAATATCTTCTGAATATCTGTGAGGAAGCATCAAAAGGCCTGGAGCTTTTGGCTTATCTCAGAAATCCATAACGAAGCCATGTAGCTTGCTGGCATCTTGCCTTGTTGTTGAGTTTTGAACAACACATCCATTGTAAGAACTGGGTCACTAAAGGGGTGATTAGAAGTGATATCTGCTGTTGGTATTTCTTACTTCTTCCTCTTTCTTATCTTGAATCATTTAAGAAAGAGTTCGTTCAGTCTGGAAATGAGAGAGGACTGAGTTTGGCAGCATGAATGTTGGTAGTCACTGATAGGCAATTAATTTGATTAAGATTCTATCTGTTCTACCTTGCAGGATAGATGGGAGCTTTTTCATGTACTATTCCCTTTTGGCATTAGATAAGAGGTGACATAATTCAAGAGAGATTGGATTTAGATCATTTGTAAGAATCTAGTCTGATTCCTCTTTTGACTCCTCCCCCAGACTCTGCCAATCCTTCTCTTCCCACAAAACTAGAAAGCTTCCTGGGTCTTTCTTCATCAACTCAAAGTTTCCATGGTGACAGTGTAATATGCATTTATTGACTTACAAAATGTACGGTCCACTCTTCATTATAAAGTAGCATTGCAGTTGACAGAAACATGATAGTCTTCCTTTGTCTTTATGAGTCCACACAATTCCCCTAGTTCTTCCCTTTATTATCTTTAGATTTAATAAAATATGCATTGATTTAAGAATACACGAGGATCCATTAAATTTATTTGTCATTTGATTTTTGGGGGGCTGTTGTTATTGGTTAATGGAAATATGCACAGAATACAATGAGCACTCGCAGTATTGCTACAGCATTCAATGGTTAAAAATAAGCTGATACAGTCAACTATTTTAAAATTGTCAAAAATAAAATTCAAAACCATGATAAAAATAAAATAGAATAAATAATCTTTTGAAAGGAATTCTGCAGGTCAGAGACAGTGGTGGGTTTCAAAAATTGTTCGCACTTACTCTGTGGGTGTGGCCTCCTTTGTGGGAGTGGCTTGCCACCCATGTGACCNGGTTAGGATTTCTTAAGCAAATCCACTGCGCTTTCAACATGAAGCCAGAAAATTGGGACTTCTTGAAAACGCCGCGGGACATGGGACAAATTGTTAGAAATCTTGACTGTCCCGCCAAAATCTATAACTTTTACAGTAGCTCTCCCTATAATGTCTATTATGATAATAGACATTATGCAGGAATAACCTTTTATAGGTTATCCCTGCATAAGCAGGATCCCTTTCAGAAGACCATTCTGTAGGATAACTCTCTGGGGTTTACCCCTTCTTCGTTCCTACATTTATTCCCACTCTGAAAGTAAGTGTCCATACTAACAGGAAGTTTTGACTAAAATCTAGATTTGGAGTTAGATTCATTGAGGTGACTTTGGAACAATAAATAATATTTCATCTCATCTTCCCATGTGCTACGTCTTACCGCAACTGCCTTTTGTAATAATGTCCACATTTATTGGGAATGTTCTGTTGGCACAGGAGCTGTGAGTTCAGGCGAATATCCTCTCTCCTCTTGTACTGGAACTTTATACAACATATCCTCCTTTGTTAAAAGTGGCCTTGACCCTTTGGAAAGTTTATGTTGTGTAAGTAGAAGAGGGGACAGAAGGATGGAAAGAGTGAGCTGTTTTGCTTACAGAACAATTGGAGTTAACCCACTAACCTGAAATGAAATATTGTTGCAGGAGTGAGTTAATAATGTAATCTGCATGTTTTGTTTTAGTAAAACCAAGAGTTTCCAGACCTGGAAATCAGCAAGGAAGTTCATCAGAGAACCCAATTGAGATGTCAGTAACAGCTGGGGAAGAAGTGACACTTCCCTGTGAAGTGAAAAGTTCACCACCCCCGATAATCACCTGGGCTAAAGAAATGCAGCTTATCTCTCCATTTTCTCCACGGTAAGTTTTATATCATTTCTTATTTACTTCTTTTGAATTTCTAGACAAGTTGTCTCACTGATGTGATCAGAGGCTGCTAGAAAACTCTGGCCTTTGTATGGATGATTAATATACGCCAAGAATTGAGCATTCATATTGCACTTTTATTCAGTCCCTACCTATTTAAAGGATAATGGACATTTAATATGTGTAGTATATTGCCAGTATCCTAAGCAATCATTTGGAGTCCTTTCACAACGTGATGTTCTCTAGGTGTGCTAAATTGTAGTTTCCATATACTGTAGACTGTAATTTCCATCATCCTTGTAATCTATCACATTATAGAATGAATACTAAATAAAGATAACAGATACATTTATCAAGAATGCTGCTTTCAGATCTATATCCTCGGTATGACTCCCTTTGTGATGATTTTTATTTTATTTTAAATACATAAGCACATCAACAAAAACAAACACATAACTTAAAAACAACATAGGAACAATAAGTTCCAT